TCTTTGGTATACCAAATTCAATAAGAATATTATATAGCACTTCTCTCTTCACAGAGTCATAGACTTTTTTGAAATCAATAAATAATTGATGTACGGTCCCACCGAACTCCCATTTTTTCTCTAGTATCTGACGAATGCAAAAGATCTGATCAATCGTTGATCTGTTTCTTCTGAACCCACACTGATGATCCCTAATAATTTCATTTGCATATGGGGTTAATCTTGCAAAAAGAATGTTTGATAGTATTTTGTATGAGATTGATAGCACCGAAATTCCTCGGTCTTGTCCCCCTTCTTATGAATAGGAATAATTATGGATTCCTTCCATTGTTGTGGCATCTCTTCCTTATCCCAAATTAACTGAATAAGCTTATGGATCTCCATATGCAACTTTTTATTATCTGCTTTAATTAATTCTGCTGGAATCTGATCAATACCTAGAGATTTGTAACTTAATGTTTCATATACTGTGGGAAATAAAAACCAGTAACACTGGTAATTACTCCCTTTCTAGAGAAATCTAAAAGAGCAAGATTTGTCTGTGTCCTCTTACGTTTACAACTTTTGACTAGTTCGTTGTGCTTCACCTCTGACCTGGGAGAGCTAGCATTAAAATGTTGTTTACAGAATTTATTCTCTAAATATATTTATTGTATATTTAATTCTGCATATGAAGTTATTTTTTCCCAAATAACTACACAATAAATATTTACTTAAGTTAATATTTTAGTATGTTACATAGATTAATAGATCTTTACTGTTCAGTAAGCTGATTACTGCGCATGCTACGAGGCGCTGTTTCGGCTACAACTTGGACAGCATCAGCGGCATATATCGATAGATCGATAGGATTGCCGTATGTTTATGCAGATGATCTGAGGCCACGGAGCGTAAATACATAGAAATGTGAAGCCCATGTGTTGTATTTTCTTTATGGTTATGTAACGATGCTGGCTATATGGAAGGAAGCAGTGCTGTGGAAAACTACAAAACACTTGTCCAGGCCGATAACTTAATATGGGATCTCCCAAATACGAATCGTGAATGATAGAACAGGATAGAATTTATTAACAATCTCTAGATCCTTCACAGGCCGAAGCATAGGATGCCGAATGTATCATAATAACTCGGCACGTCGTGGTCGAATTATAGAACCGCCCCGGGTTCAAATCTCGGCCCGGACACCGGCTATCCTGACTGGGTTTTTCTTGTGGTTTTCCGTGGTTAAATGAGGCCACGACCTCTTCCTTCCACAGCCTTTACATTTCACAGTCTGAGCTACTGAAAACGCATAATTTAATCAACTATATGAAAGAAATACCTTGGGGGTAAGCCATGTCTATGGTCGATAGGGAAGTTACGAATGTCATCTTTGGAGGGTGTAGACAGGTGCAAACGATAAGAAATATGTGGTTGGAAGAGTGATGCCACTTAATTCTTAGCAATGCACTGATCTGAACATCTGTAGTTACTATTCCGAGGTACAGACCAAAGTTCACGAAAGCTAGTCCCGGTTTACACGTTCATTGCGAATATTTTTTAGGCGCCTGGTTTCCCAATTTTGATGTTTACGAATGAAGCAGGATTCTCATGGGATGGAATTATCAATTTCTAAAATTAACATGTATGATCCAATGAAAATCCTCATGCCCCTTTCCAATCAAGACACCAGCATTGACTCTTGATAGCTTTGTGGCAGGCGTACTTTGAGACAGACTGATGGACCCTTAACGTTTTGCCACAAAGGTCCCTGACAGGGCATTCTTATCTCAACTTCATAATCATTACTATGACATGCCCAATACTCTGTGGAAGTGTATGGTGAATATTTTCTTTAAAAACATGACTGGTGTCACCTTTCATGCAGAATGTGTACATAGAAAATTAATACATAGCACATCTGCAGTTATCTTAATCAACCTTCTGGCCTTGGTGTGTATGTGGCATTAAATTTACACATACAACCTTTTTTGTTCCAAGATCCCACACATTGTTAAGAGTCTGAAGATGGCCCAACCAGGCGAAAACATGTAGCTCATAAAAGCCTGTTGTAAATAATCTGGGAATGTATTCAAAGGTGAAAGATGAATGCTGTGCAAATATGAAAGCTAGTTGAAACAGTGAAGATTATCATAATCAAACTCAACAAATTATTAAAAATGGCTGGATGAAAAGTTATCCCAAATCTTCAATGAAACATGGTAATTATATTCTGATGACATGTTGAAACCACAGTCATATGAATTAATTTTGGCTCATAAACCATCTTACAAGAAATTTTCGACAGACCAGGTATGCCCAAGTAACGGAAACACCATTCTTCAATTATCCCCTTTCCTGAATCCAAAAGAATCAATTTGAACACAGTTAAAATAATATGTTATATTCAAAACATGATGTGAAAAGTTGTGTGAAGACAAGTAGGATTTGAGGTTCTCATCATGGTGAGACTTCTGGGTTGTGCATTTGCTGTATTTGAATTCAAGCCACAGATTACAGGGATAAATAGATCACTTTCTTTAAATATTAGTTTGTGTTGCTTTGCTCAGTTCTTGGATTAATTAATAAGGTTGTATACATGGCATCTTAGATAGGGCACTTGAATTTTTTGTGGTTTTGACTCTAACTATGAATTTTCAGTAAGAAATTCTACTCATCATGAATGACAGAGATCAGTATATTACCGAGATATGAATCTTGATCAGTTGATGACATGGAAATTCATTTGGACTAAGAAACTTTTAATAAGGTGAATACACTTTGTAACACTGCAAAACTTTTCTAATTTCTGAAAATAATTTTAGAATGCTCTAGGAGCTTTCACCAATGTTAAAATATAAAAGGGGAGATAAAATGAGCTACCTTCTTCATGTACTTCAACCATGTTTTACTGGAATTATCAAAAATATTTTATCTTGTGTGTCAAGTAACCTCTAAATGTGTACTGTCCTCATGATGTGGTTTGTAAGTATTATTTTAAAATATAAAATAAATTCATTACATTTAGTGATCACATCAAAAGGCATGTTGCTACCGTGTTCATTCATGTTGGTAGTTCTGCTCTGCTCTATGAATGTAGTTAACAGTGTATGAATAAATTTTTATACATTTGAAGATAAAGATAAAAGAAAGGTACTGTATTAAAAGTTGATGGGTAACATGAGTTGTATTAATTTAGGCTTTATTATCTCCAAGTCCAATCAAAAGTTATCTTAAATTCTTTAACATAAAACAAAGAACTCACCCTCCCCCTGCCTGCAAGTGGAATTATAAATGTCATTGTTATGAACTGGATAGTTAAATTTAGTTCCAGATGTTGGCAATTTTTCTCTTCACCACAATGTCTGCAGCCTCTTTGAGCTGACCTAACCTCATGTTCAAAATGCACCTGGAGCAGTTTTCTTGAATTATGTTGGTCAGAGTGTGAAATTACAATCCACTTCCATTTGGCAGTGTCTGAGAATACATGGAGTCTTGGCTGCAAGTTTTTTTATATGCCTTTAAGCATGGAATCAGCATTTTATTTCACAGCTTATTCATGACATTGCCCACAGATGTTCTGTGTAATTTGCATGAGATCAGGTGTCAGGAAAGTCTGCAGCACAAAAATAGGTGTATGAAATTAATAATTTTTAAACGGTATGATATCTGTAGATTTATGGCATGTAAAAGAACCATACGAGCAAAATTCAGTGGCCATTTCTCTCCTGATTCAAGGCTAGATGGCTCTGGCAGTCAAAATCAGGATTGAGTAGAAACTGTGCAAAGGCAGTAGGCTTGTCACTTACTACTCAAATGCACCTTACAAGACTAATAAGGACAAGTTGCCTTGATCAACTGTCCCGGAGTGGGCCAATAGGCCCAATCCCTGTAGCAGATGAAGATATCCATATTCTGACATTCATATGACTTAGTATTAATTGGCATGCTGACATATTGTTCTTCATTAACAGTGAAAGGTTTCAAAACAAAAAGTTGGTATGATTCATATATATATTTTTTTAAGCTGAAGTTGTGTTAATGCCTTGCAAGTTGGTGGAACTGTTGGGTAAGAAATATAATGTGTTGGTTGGGATCCTTGAAGGAAGGAGACCCTAGGTAGATGGGAATCAGTGGAGCAAACTGAATGTAGCTGGCTCAGGATGGAGTTTGGCAGGCTTTTGTGAACATGAATCTTTTTGTCGCATAAGTGCCATTTGACTAGCTGCGTTTTCTTCATTTCCCCTGTTCAATTTCTATTGGTCATACTTGTGAAAAGAACTTGGTAGGTGGAAAACCAAGGGTATGGCTCAAAGCATGGTTATAACTTCATAATGGTACTTTACAGTTTTAAATAATTTATTTCAATTGCACACTCATAACTGCCTATCTACAAACTTGTGTTACATAATATGTTTCCCACATACTATTAACTTAATAGTGAAAGGAATGCAAATTCCTAATGTGCTAAGAATCATTGAAAACATAAGAACAATAGTTTCTCATTTCAAGAGCAACAATGCTAATGAGAAACTCATAACTTACCAACAAAATAACACTGGCAGACAAGCACTTAAGTTGATTCACGATATACCAACTCGGAACTCGACTTATGCCATGTTAGAACTATTCGCACTACTAGAGGAATCACTTAAAGCTACAATAGCATTAATTGATAAACATCTTCCCGTTTTGTCTTCTGAAGACTGGAAGATAATCCGGGAATTGATACAAGTCCTCAAACCATTCCAGTCACTTACAAAAACAATGAGTGGAGAAAAGTATGCCACAGCATCCCTAATCAATCTACTTGAAATTGACCTGAAAAATGTTTGCAACATTCTGCTGAAAAAATCATTTTGCAAGGAAGTGCAGCAAGTGATACAGTGCTACCTTACATCAATACAAGAACGCTTTCGAAGCCTGGAACAAAGCACAACATTGATGGTCTGCACAATTATTGATCCTCGCTTTAAGATGTTGGCGTTCTCTGATAAACAAATTTCAGAAAATGCCAAGGAGAAAGTGATTACACTGGTTGCATCAAGTCAACCATAATGTTAATACCACACCACATTCAGCAATGGTCACTACAGATGCAGATGAATTGTGCGTGTGGAATTATATTGACATATCAGTTGCAAGAAATACACCAAGAATAGGTAGAGCAACATCAAGAGCCATTATAGAGGTAAATCGTTACCTTGAAGAAGCATTTCTTCCAAGGAACAAAGATCCTTTGCAATGGTGGAAAGCGCATCAGTTCAATTATCCACACCTCAGCATGGTTGTATATATATATATATATATATATATATATATATATATATATATATATATATACGGGGGGTAATTAAAATATTGGTTTCTGGTCCCTTAAAATTTATTTATGCTAATGTATTTACCTTGTGTTCAGTTTCCAAAATAGCTAATTGCTTGCAACATACAATATTGTATAGGAAATGTTATATTTTGAAAAGAACAGTAGTTTAAATAAAGTTAGGCGTACACCTAACCTAACTGTAAACTTTCATTTTACATACAAAGTATTAAATACAATATTCTTGTAATAAAGTAATTTTATTTCAATTTTTATTTCAAATACAACTTACACATTCTGAATTTTCGACATGTTAATTTCTGTAATTTTATTATTCATGACATCAGCTGTACTATAATCACACGTAAACAGAGCAGCAACAGACAGCCAATCATATTCCGAGTTGCATCACTGTGTACCACCATAATCAATCTTACCATAGCCGTCACAGTATGATAAATGCATGTCGCATCTCGATCACTGTTTCACTGCGTAAGATCACCGTGATTGAGAGAGAGCAATCACAGTCACACCTGTGATCACAAAAGAGCAGTTTAACTCCACTAATCTGAACCACATGACAACTTTATTATTATTGTACTGCAAATGTTTTATTTGTGTTTGTGAGTCTTTTATTCAATAATTTACTACACAGTAAAAACTGCAAATCCTCCTAAATGTATTTTCCTGAGTCACGCCTTCCGTCATCAATTTTCATCTCTAAATATTTATAATTGGCATGATGTTTTAAAGAGTCGTTTCCTTTGAAAGATGAATTGTGTCCAGTTTCTTCTGACTGAGACATATTTTGGTTTTGTTAAACTTTGTCACGTCCCATGCTTTAATATTATCCATCTTGTTGCAGTACTAATTTGTCGTCTGCATAATGAAGGAATATTATAGTGTGTTCCGGTTGGGCATGCCCATACCACTACAGACACTTTCTTTTCTATTTCTGAAGTGTAATTTCTAGACATATTAACTTTAATTTAGGTGATATATAACATCCTTGGCGTCAGCCTTCTAAAACCAAAATCCTATAGAACTTATTCCTTATTATATTTTGTAAGTGGAATTTTTATTTAAGATCTGTTTTTGCTGTAACAATGTTTGACTTTGCAATTGTACACTTTAAGAAAACCGTTACAACTCGAAACTCTGTGATCACTTTTCGGCCCTAAGAGGACTACAGAAGTGAATGCTGGCTACTTTGTGATCTGTGACGTAAACGACTTCTGAAGCCAGTACTAGTAGTACATTTTTGCTTGATGTAATTTGTGGAAATTCAAATGTCTTTATTTTGTAGGGTGTATCCGGAAGTCTAAAATTGTAGGTATTACTTTTAATAATAGTTTTTGTGTTAAAATGTTTTACTCAAATATTCTATAGAGTTGCGTACACTCTTAAGTAACTTTATGGCGGTATTTTTAATAATCCACATCAATCATACGTTTATACATATGCAAGGGGCCTTAGAAAGTAACACTTCTGTCGATATTTAATGGAACTATACTGCGACATCAACTATGAGCAAAAGCATTTATAAGTATATGCCAGCAGGTAAAATTTCAAACTACAAGTGCATATTTGTGTTTGGAAAATATTCTCACCTCAGACCTGTCTCACACTGGTGAGCCATATTTTACACGCAGTAAGACACTATTATGGATGCCTTTATCTCTCTTTATTTGGTAGCGTCTTGCACATTAATGATAACCTGTAAAAAGGTGCACTTGGATAGTTAACTTCAAGTTGATGTATTATTAAATCTTACTTTGGTTGTAATAAATACCAAATAAGCAGCACCTACTGCCCGTTTTGTGCCTTGAATATCCTATTTTTTGTTCTTATTTAATGCATATTTTGCTCTTCATTTAGTAAAACTATAGAATATGGTTTGGACATCCTATGCTAAGCTAAGATAAAACCAACCAGTATTGAAATGGCAATGATCACTGTAGTGATGAGGGGTATGAGGGAGCTGGAATGCAGTGTGAAGCAAGATTAAATCCATATTCTGGACTTTAATGTATTTGTATCTATGATATGCTTATCTATGTCCACATACCCCCAGATGTAATAAGGCCCTGCCACTAACATGGTCTGACCCACTTAATCTTTCTTAGCTACAGCACACTTCTCATATTTAAGACTGTCATCTTCTTTAGATCATAAAGTTCCATTAATAATAACGACTTACTACTTCACAAAACCGATATTCTAAACATCACACATCATTCAAAAGATGCTCATGTAAAACATATAATAATACCTCACGCAAAATCTGTTTAATGCTTGTAACACGTATTAAAAAACAAAATGTATTTCAGAAATAGCTGCTGCACTATGTACCTCAGGGGCAAGGTTTGTCTCTGGTACATAGAAGTAAATACCCTGTAAAATGGTGAATAAATGGAATAATAATAATAATACATTCCCTGCTTTAGCCTCAAGATTTTAACTACCTATGAGTCTCCTTAATGGATATCCAGATGGAAGATCATCTTCTACCAATTTCCAAGTGAGTTCTGGACATGCTTTCCACTATAATAAAGGGAGTTGGAGAGTCAAACTCAGTTCAACAGCTGAGCAAAGTTGCAGTCTGGGCAAGGAAAATCAATTTACATCTGAAGCAACAGATTTATGTCACAATAAATGGACATCTTGGGCTAATTAGGTGTACAGAATAACAAAAAAGTAAAGTAAAGCTGTCTTACTATATACAATGTAGGAGCTTGGAGGGAGGGGAGGAGATAGCGCCTACTCATTCTTGACCTCGGCACTAGACTGGGGTGAGTGGTCAGCAAAAAGGAAAGTAATTTATGGCAGCTTTGTATCATTAAACACATGTTGATCACTTGCAATACCTGGATCGAGTTTCATCACCAGTATCAATAACAGTTTTCCAGATTTTCTAACTAGTTCAGGTTACTTCTCATGGTTACCTTGTATTAAGAATAAGGGAACTTCAAGGTGAATGGGGTGTGCAAAACATTTGGAAAACTCCAATATGGAGTACACACACTATTGTTTCATAGGAATGCAGTTATCATGAAAAACTACACTATAAAAAGAGACGGATTTACGTGTCGAAGTTCTTTCACGTTGGTGTTTAGCTCACCTAAGAGGCAACTGGTATGCCCGAATTTTAAGTATAATGTAGCGACTTTAAGCATAACAGAGTGGCTTAATATAAGATTCTACATGTATGACCAAGATTAGGAGCCTCAAATTAATTTGTATGCAAGTATTATAAAGAAGTATGTAAATTGTGATTGTGATGACTATTTTGTCTTAAACCACACAGATCTCGGTACTCTACTGAGGATGGTTAATGCAAACACTACTTTCAGACTCTATATGTAACTGCCCTATTTAGACATGATTCATTTACAATACCTCTCACCATAACAGGACATTTAAATGGTATTCAGCAGGGGATGAAGAACATTTAAATTCAAAATCAGAACACAGCAGCATTACATTTCAAGATTTGTGTGATACTCTGTATAACATTCAATGCAGGAGCCATATTTCCTACCCATGATTAGTGTCCTTACCTTTGATTCTTGTTTTATCTGATGGATTCTGCTGAAACTGCTTAGTGTGTCTTCATGCTAATTTGCATTTGTTTAATTAGCAAATTTTACACAGAATTAAGAACAAAGCATGTAAGGTAACACAAGAAATAGTTCTATATGTCTTATAGTGACATGTTCAATCAGCAAATAGCATGCCACAATTGTTAGATGGCATTTTAGGATTAAAAATTCAAGTGACAGTTCCTTTTAATATACATACAGTGTGAAACCTTTAATAACATTTTTCATATTGCTCTATTAGTGACTTGAACCAGAAAGAAGCCACAAAAGGAACGTATCAATTTTCTTCTGTTGGCAATGTTCAGATTGAGGATTATTCAAAGAAGGTATGTCACATGTTGTACTTAGAGAGTTATAATGTACACTTCCTCAAATTATATTATTTATAGGTTTAAAGTCACAAAACTCATAAGGGGGTTCTAGGCTTCCTAAGAGCTGCTGCCTTAACCATGATACTATTGCTCACAATTTTAAAATCCAGTGGAAGCTTTGAAATTGTTCATAAATGTGCTAAGGGAATCTGGTTTGAATGTACTGAAATTTTGAAAAAGCTGAATTTTATAAAGGAAATTGTCATATCATAGTCAGGAATGATAAATACTTTCCATATCTGAAAATGTCCATGTTCATCATGACAGCCTCTACGAAGTCTGGTATTTGTTCAGTAAGTTGTTAGCTAATACTATATTTACTTCTTTTTCTTCTCTTTTTTCTTCTTCCTATGAGGGCTTATTAGCTTTGCCATACTTATTTGTTAGTACATACGATAATGCCACTCTGACTTTAAAAGAGTCTACACTAGAATTTATCGAATACATATTAGTTAAAACTTTAAACAGAGTTCTAGATATTTTTATACATTATTTGGATTCAGTATATAAAGATAATATGTAAATGGGAAGGTTAGGTCTGTCTATTAGCATGTTTTGTCTACTAAATCACCTTAAAGATTTTGATTAAATTTGGCTTTGGAAGCCTGTAAAAAAGTTATGCAATTTCATTTTTCTTTTTGATCCATTATAACCTATATGTTCCTGGAAACAGATCACTGTACGAAATGTAGTTATATGACAAAAGCATATATAGCTCAATGAGTTAGTGATATCTTTTCTTTATAGACCATTGAAGTTCTTTAATTGTCAGACCTCATACTCAAGATTCAACACACGTTTACAGGCCCTCGCTTTGACATATTCCGTCCACTTTTTGAAGCTTGTTGTTCCATATATGAATTCTACATAATTTATGAAGTAGTCTTAAAAAACTATTAATATTTTACATTTAGAGGCAAGGAAAACAAAAAGCAAAGGATGTTGAAACTGATGCAGTGAAAAAGAGAAAGAGAACTGAAAGAATGCAGAATAGAGCAATGATAAAGACTGAGCAAGCTGAAAAGAAAGCTGTGGAGATGGCACACCATTCCAAAAAGCCTGGGGAGTGTTTGAAGGCAAGTGGTTACTACCATTTACACTTATATCCACACTAAATTTAACAAATATAAGAAGAGTTTTTATTGCTTTAGTTTTTTTTAAATAGAGGGTTGGCTTGTATTTGCAAGAGAAAAATGCATGAGAAAACAAAGGTGTGAGTGGAGCAGTGTGGTATGTAATATGTTTAAAAGGAAATTCAGACGTGGTAAGTTACTGTAGATATATTTCCCTATTATCCACTGTGATGAGGTTACATGCAAATGTATTAAAGAATGACCTTATTGCATTACTGAAGCCTTCTTAAATGAAAATCTGTGTGGATATAAGAGGAAGGACACAATTTTCCTGTTGTAGAAGTAATTGAAATTAAACTAATAAACTGATAAAACAAAATCTGACATACTGTAACAAACACAAGTAACTTTTTGGGATTGACTATAGCTACAGACTTCTGATATTTTCCTTGCAGTATATACAAGTGTGTCTAGATAAACAGTTGCTGACCACAGAACATGGAGGAGAGATATTAACATCATTACAGTCAGCACATATGCAGTACAACATACAATCTAACCTGGTGCCATTCTCTGTCTTCTGGACCAGAGAGGTTCAAGAATATTGTGTAGGAGATGACATGAAGGTGAACATAAGAGATTGAATAATGTATTTACCTGAATACAACCCTTTCCCTTTAGTGACATTAAAAATTGGGGACTCATCTTATACTTAAGGAATACATGTAACAACTCGAATGTCATTCAACATAATCTGAGAAATACACATCTGCCAATTGTGGCATATCTTAAAACTCACCTACTTCGAGATTATTTTTAATTAATGTGCAGCTTTGGCATTCAGGGATGAGCTGTGTTAAATGTGAAAATGGCAACTGCAATGTTTGCCAAATTGTTGGATAATTTTTTACATTTGATGTGGCTCATCCCCAAAAGATGAAGTTGTATACTCAACTCCAACTACAGAAACCAAGGACAAGTATTATATAACTTATGACATTAAGTGTACAAGCATTTTTCTCAGTCGTATGAATTCATACTATATTGAGTTTGTACTGTATATGTTACATTTGGGTAGTTTTGGCTTTTTGAAGACAGAATAACGTGGAAGATGTGTTTTGTGTTCTTCTGAAACAGAATTTTATTTCAACCATTCTACTGCTGCATAATTATTTCCTATACAATGGATTCTTTCAGAGAAAAAGATATTAAGTGATTGTAAGTATTCTTGTTGCCTTAGAATGGGTTGCCTAGTGGTTAACAATAAATGAATACATTTTTGAGATTCATGAACATTTTTTGTAATGACATGACAGTGAGTGGCCTGTGTAAGGATGACTGAAATTATCAAGGTGTATATGGTAGTATGAAGATGCCAGCCTTCTGGGATATTGTGTCATGTAGTCTCATAGAAGTTGACTGATGTTTCAGAGGTGCTTACTGCCACCATCATTAGGGCAATCATCTCCCTGATGATGGTGATAGTAAGCACCTCTGAAACGCCAGTCAACTTCAATGGGACTACATGACACAATATCCCAGAAGGCTGGCATCTTCATTCTTCATACTCACTGCCATGAGAACCTGAAATATCATCTAGATTGTCACATGTCTGTAGGTGCAAGTACAGAGGAGAAAGGAGAAGGAGGAGAACGAAATGTTGATAATTTGGCACTGGGGCGAAGTGATAAGGCTGATTCATGCTGAAGATCTTACAAACCACATACAATCCTTGCAACTTACTCAGCCTGGCAAAAGGGTCACACTAGTGATATATGGTGCAGAGGAATATTTCAGGTCAGAGTAAACCCACATAGTCACACTGGCATGCAGTTAACACAGTACATATATTTTTCATTATACTACACATTACACAACCATTCTGATATGTTAGATAAGTTGTGCTGGAAAAGTTTATACTGGTGCACTGGGTTTTTTTACACAGATTTGTTGTTTAGTATAACTCTGTTAGGAAGAGTCATATGAAAATGAAAATAAAGTTTCCTGTAGTTTGAGTTTCTCACAGAAATACTATTTGGAATTCTGTCAATGAAGGGAGAACAACTGGCATGTTAATAGACAGGAAACAAAGCATAAGCCATAATGCTGGATTCTGTAGGGTTCTGATGATGGTATGATGTAGTCGGAGATATTGGGTTTTTGGACTTTGTCCACTGTTAAAATGCACATAACATTTTGAAAACAGGATCTGTTTTTGCCTTCATACATCCGAAGACAAAAATGGATCGTTTTTGAAATGTCATGTGCATTTTAACAGTGGACAAAATCCAAAAACCTAATAACTCCGAATATAAGCCATAATGTGTTTAGGTATCGGGAATGTATCCAAGCCAGTAGGGAAATTCTTCCCATCAAAAATGTCCCTGTAAATGTACCATTCTGTATATGGCAAGGTATGCAAGAAATTAAATTCAGTAAAAATTAAGTGTTATGTGCAAGTACAATTACTTGAAAGTTTGAAATGTTGCAAAAATACTATTTTACAAATTCACGATCTTCTTTGAAAAGCTTATAAGTCTCTCAGGTGTTCAGAAATTT